AAATCAAAGCACCAAAACCGCAGTGTTTCATCGGTATCGCCTTGAATTCTCGGTGACGCCAAATCTGCTCAACCCAACCATGGAATAAAAACCCGAAATTTCCCCCAAAAGCAGAGTCCCAGGAGTTTCCACATGGAAAAAAACCCCGAAATTTCCCCCAAAAGCAAAGTCCAATCGCTCCATCCCATGTTCATTCTCGGGCTCACTCCTGGGCACACACCCGGCTGTGCAAAGGTGACAAATCCCACTCGAATGGAAATGCAGGAATTGAAAATGTGGGATTTTAAAAATTGCTCAGTGGGGGAAATAAAAGGATTTGTTAAAAATTTTGAGATTTTTAGAGCAGAGATGAAGGATTAGTATAAAAATCAAAGCACTAAAACTGCGGTGTCTCATTGGTAACGCTTTGAATTCTCAGTGACGCAAAACCTGCTCAACCCAACTATGGAATAAAACCCCGAAATTTCCCCCAAAAGCAGAGTCCCAGGAGTTTCCACATGGAAAAAAATCCCGAAATTTCCCCCAAAAGCAGATCCAGAGAGCTCCGTCCTGGGCTCCATCCCGGGCTCTGCTCCTCAGCACGAACTGGACTGTGCAAAGGTGACAAATCCCACTGGAATGGAAATGCAGGAATTGAAAATGTGGGATTTTAAAGACTGCTCAGTGGGGTAAATAAAACGATTTGCTGAAAATTTGGAGATTTTAAGGGTACAGATGGAGGAAAAACCGAAAATCAAAGAACGAAAACCACGGTGTCTCATCAATAACGCTTTCAATTCTTGGTGACGCAAAACCTTCTCACCCCAACCATGGAATAAAACCCTGAAATTTCCCCCAAAAGCAGAGTCCCAATGCTCCATCAGCTCCATCCATCCCGGGCTCACTCCTGGGCTATGCTCCTCAGCACGAACTTGACCGTGCAAAGGTGACAAATCCCACTCGAACAGAAATGCAGGGATTGAGAATGTGGGATTTTAAAAACTGCTCAATGGGATAAATAAAAGGATTTGTTTTCAAAATGGACTTGTAATCAAAGTGGTCAATGGGGTAAAAAAAAGGGATTTGCTGAAAATTTTCAGATTTTAAGGGCACAGATGGAGGAGAAACTGAAAATCAAAGAATGAAAACCGCGGTGTTTTGTCAGTAACGCTTTTGACTTCTTGGTGACGGAAAACCTTCTCAACCCAACCATGGAATAAAACCCCGAAATTTCCCCCAAAAGCAGAGTCCTGGCTCTCCATCCCGTGTTCATTTTCCAGCTCACTCCTGGGCTATGCTCCTCAGCACGTACTTGACTGTGTAGGCAAAGGCGGCGAAGCCCACGATGACAAACAAGTTCGCCAGGGCCCCTCCCAAGAGTCCGTGGTTCCTGTGGGGCTGCTGCAGCCCCGGGGGCCCGGGGGCTCCGTGGGGCAGCCCCACATGGTGCCCGTGGGGCAGCCCCAGAACGTTGTGCCCCACGTGGGCATCGCCGTCCGGAACCACGTCCGGCAGCGGCAGAGAGGGAGGGCGAGAGCTCAGCTCCTGCTGCGCCTGCTGCTGCTGCTTCATCTCCTGCAGG